CATGGATGTGTAGCCGACAAATCTGCAGCAACTGCGTGATGCAATCATGTCAATATGGAACAAATGTTTTCAGCACCTCATTGAATTTATGGGGTCTATTCACGAAGCAGCCAAAGGATCTAGCCGTAGCTTCAGCTGATCCTTTGGCTAGTTTAGGCCTCATTACCCCTTCGGTTCAGTAGAACCAGCTAACCAGGGACACTGATCTCCAGACAGCCTAACTCTCCAGGGCGCTCCGGGAGTCTCCCGCTCCCGGCCGCCCATGGGAGAAACACTGCTTTTTCTTTTTTATTCTGACACAGAGCTGTTGGCTGGCGTCAGAATAATAAAAAAAAAAATTTCACCATAGGAATGCATTGCTAGATTCCTATTGGCTATTTTAATTTGCAATAGCCAATAGCAAACTAGCTATTGCACCCGCCCACTGCTGCAGTTCTCCATCAGGTCCCCACTAGTGATTGATAAAATGGCCAGTGAGTGTATATAAGCTTGTTAGACATCCCGTTTTAAAAACATGGGCATTATTACAGTACAGATACAGAGTATTGTCATTCCAATTCAGTAGGGTGAGGTCAGAGCTCTCTCTAGGCCACTTGAGATCCACCACATCAAACTCATCAAAACATGTCTTTATTGACCTGGCTTTGTGCACAGGGGTGCAAGTCATGCTGGAAAAGAAAAGTGCTGTCCCCAAACTGTTGGTACATAGTTGCAAGTGCACAGCTGTCTAAAATGGGGACACCTGAACGCCTCTCTGGATGTGCCCATTAAGATGAAGACACAGACCCGATGCATCTGATTAAGTAATGGAAAATGGCAAATAGGCAAAACAGGATCTCATCTGCTAATGATTTGCAGCTTTATTTGTATTTTTAATTACAACACAATAAAACAATGGTAATTACAGAAGATGCAATAATATAAAAAGCAACTGACCCCCTTCCCTTAAGACACTTACTGCAGACAACAACTGCCCCACCCCAAAACAGCCCTCCTCGTGAGAAACGGTAAAATAAATAGTAATAAATAGAAATTAATCACTGCACAGCCTTTAATACTTTGACTGCCGAAACGGAAAAAGTTAGTCATCTGGTCAAAACTGGGTTAATCTTTTATTTCACCTTTTATGTTAAGAATGACGCAGTCAAAGTAATAAAGCATTGTAAACAAGTTTTCATTTAAAAAAAAAGGTAAAATGTGGTCTATGGTATACAATACAATAAAACAATCATAATAAAATTAACAACCCCTTGACCTTTGTTGGTGTAATATATGGGGGACACACATTAGCTTTCTGTGGTTAGTTTTTATAATATCTATTTAAATTGTAGCCTATATTGTTTTGTGCAATGACTTTGGGTATTAAAATACAGTACAACTCCTGTAAATCATACACTGCACTGATAGGGAATTATTAATGTATTATAGATCCATCTAAGCACTGCATACATTTCCCAGTTATATCACAGTCTTTAACAAGTTAGCACCAATTATTCAGGTCTGTGTTAGCACACAATAAGCTTTGTGTTTGTCAGTAGAAGCAAAATAGAATATTATATCTACCAGGATCCTATAGCACAAAAATAAAATATATCCAATATAACATCCAATACAGGAAAGCTTCATCCAACATTTCAGTATAATAAAAAATAATGCAGTGAGCTGTCCCCTAACCATATTTCTATAATCTTTATAATGTACCTAATCAGTATTCACGTCCATTTATACTGCCTGTGAAGGAGTTAGATTTTGGTAAATATGTTTTATCATAAATATAAAAGACTAAAAATACTGATCTTTTTAGGCGGAAGTTATTTAACCTCTATTATAATTATAAGAGAACATAAGTACATTTTAAAATGTGAAATCCAGATAATTTTTCCTAAGCTCACTTAACTAAGTTCTCATAACTATTAAAAAACAACAACTTAATTTTCATTAAATAAAATATATATAAGACAAGGAAATGATTACAGAGGCCATTTTGAAATGTAATGTTATTTAAAAGGACCTTTTAATTTCAACTGCCAACCGGCTCTAGTTTTCTAACACTGCCAAATATTTAAAATGTTTGCTTCTTTCCAGAGCAACAGTGCTCTGCTTGTAGATGGAATTTTTGAGAATTCTTATCCTTTTTTCGGTAATAACTGGCTTGCTACTTTCTACAGAAGTCACCATAGAATTGGAAGTCAAATTACAGGCATTCTAATCATTGTCCTTACCTTTGCTATAGTTATGGTTTCATCTTTATTGTGATACTTCTTAAGTATACTACAGGTTTAAAGGAATCCTAAGGGGATGCAATGTGTCCTATTACAACACTGGCACTGACAATATGGTCATAATAGACTGACACTCCCATTTAGCACTTTCATTGTATACACAGAAATTTTGGGAAGACCTATAGAATACCTATAATTTTAGTAAGGGGGCCAATAACGAAATCCAAACCTATAACCTAAGTTTGTATTAGTCTGGCAAATAATTGCATTTCAAAAAGAATTGTGCAATTATGAAAAACAATGGAATATGGGAAAGATGGTGTTAATGGGATTTTTTTTTTGAGGGGGTTATATTATATTAACAATTCTAGTTATAACTGCATTCAAAAGCCATCACTCATTTTTTTTATCTATTAATCTGGAGCTGGCCGTGGTGAGCAGGGAGATATCTGCTCATCCTCATGCCACAATCTTCCAGGACACATAGTAGGCTAATCCTGACATTGAACAGAGAAGGATGACAATGTACTAGTTAGAGACTTTCCAAGCTGGAAAATTGCATGCACAATCATGAGCAGCTTTACCGTTATGGATTATCCCACCAAGGCTCCAACTTTTTTTAATCTATCTGAGCTGAATGGCCTTGATCGCATTATACATTATTCTTACTGTGCAAATTTAAGCCGACTTTGCCGGTTGTATAAAAATCCAACCAGATAAAACCCTGTTAAAGAAGTCCTCTCCATCATAGAGTAAAACCTTTGTTCTCTTTAAGAGCTAGGAGAACCACTGCTAGGTAATGTGTGTCAAATAGTATGTCCCCTGCAGGGCACTGTAGTTCCTCCCCCTGGTTGCTATATCACTACTGTGTGCTGTAGTGAAGTGCAGAAAGAACCACAGCTCCGAGCTGGGGACATGCTATCTGACACACCTAATAGTGTTGAATAGCTGTGGTGTTCCTAGCATAACAAAATAGTGGAGAGTTCACCTGTTACCTGCCAGAGACATGTATTCAGCTTCTTCTTTTACATGGTTTATTGTACTTTTTTTGTTATACCAGAGTCACTTTAAAACTTTTTATGGATCAGTCTGTTATCACTGACTAGAGACAGGATGGTACTAATCTGCACTTTCTACGTAAAGAAAAGGAGACATCATTTAAGGTGCACAAAATAACAAGACACTTGCACAGAGTAAACAGGGGATCTGTGGAAGATCGGACCCTTCAGGAAAAACAAATATCAGATCTACAAAATAGTTTGTGAATATTGGCCCCACAAAGCATGCATTTCTTAACCACTATGTTTTGTTAAAGCTTCCTGTAAGTTTGCCAGTTTTTTTTTTACCACTATATCTGTTGGATTGTATGCACACAATGGGATGTGGTTGTTTTCTTCTATACTCCCACCTCCAAGTTCTATCTTTTTTTGTGGCTTATTTTGTACAGAGGTAACAGGTGGAAACAAACAGGAAGTTAAGCTATTTAAAACAAAAAATAAACAAACACCACAGATAGGGAGACATGTGTTTTCCTTTCCATATTTTTGTAGACTTTATAGAATATCTTATCACTTTGATTGCAACAACTTTTTTTTCTCTTACATCTACCTTTTACAATATAAGAATTACAAGTTACATCTCCATCAACAGGCTAAAATAATTGCTACCATCAGCATACATTTTTAAGGACTACTTAAGGCCCAACTGTCTCATCTTAGTCAAATCTATCCCCTTACCACATAACCTTAGCTATATTAAGGCAAAAGCATGCCCATATTTATTACGTCTCTCTCTTTGGTTGGTTAGAAAAGAGAAAAATGTTCCCCGCTATAACAGCGTTGGGGGATTGACATTATGTTTTATTTAATTCTTATGTTTAACATCTTACTTATTTCCAATGGAAATTCAAGTAGAGGCTGTATTGTTTCTAACAGGGAAGTGTGAACATATGTACTGTATATATGCACCACCCATAAAGGCAGATAGAAAAAATAATTTAACATATAGGTTATATTATAGTTCTTCTTGGTTGCAACCTGCATTCAACATACATCTTAACTAGCATGTCTTCTTGTTAATTTTGCTGAAGGTCAAAGGGCACAAACAGCAAGAACAGCACTCTTTAAGACAGTAAGCTTTTTATAAATAAAAAAAAATGTAATGACAGCCAACAGGACACCACTGAAGTTAAAGGCATACTGTTTTCATGGAGCAATTACTCTCCGACACACTGACTTTGAGCCAGCTTACCACACATAAATGGCATTCGGTGTTACCTTCATTACCTGTTTAGTTAGCATAGTGCTGGTAAAAGCATAACACTGCTAAAAAAAAAGCAGCTCTTACTTTTTTTTTTATGGAAAAAAATTAAAAAACAGCAGCTTCTGCAGTTTGAATGGTAATAATGACAGCACTTTTGTGGTATACACGGCAAGAAAATGCTTTGGTGCTTCCATTGCTTCTGGTTCTGATCCTAATAAGAGCAAGACATTTTCACCCTTTGAGAACTATAGTGAACATGCAGTTTGAGAACAATTTAGTGGGGAACATGCAGTAATCAGATTCTCTGCTAAACATATAGCAGAATTAATTTAGATGGATGTACTTGTATAAGGCAATTCATATTGTCGTGCAACATGGTTTGAATGTACAGTAGACCTCTATGGGTGAAAACAGTCAACATTTTCTTCTGTATATATTATTGTTTATTAGCACTGCCTTATTTGGTTATACCAAACATTAGTCTTTGCTATGAAATAAAAAAAAAAAAAGAATTTTTTTTTTTAGAAGCTATAGGATAGATTAATTCTAAGTAAAAAACTCTAAATCTTATCAATTCCCTATCCACGTCCACATTACTTTGTGGTAAGCAAGCCGTGCCTATTGGAATCTGAAAACTGCTAAGATAGTACTCAAAGGGTTACAAATACGTAATACTTGTAGCAATTTTCTTCACAACATGACAGCCATTTTGTCACAGCTCACTGCAATCCGTTTCAGAGATATTCTGCTTCCTGCCAGGCTTTCAAATAAGTGTTCCTGTCGGACCTGCTAAGTGCCCAAGGCAGTGGAATGCAACTTTATAAAATATAATGATGCCAAAAAACAAAAACAAACAAGATAAAACAAAAAAAGTTTCATTTTATCAGTATATTCATGACTATAAATGTGTTAAAACGTTTTGGACAAAGCTCAGAAAAAGTTGTATAAAACACAAAATGAATGTATCATTATTAAGGCTGTTACTATATTGCAGATATTTTGGCCCCTTGTTAGTTGGAAAAAGTCCGTCCAAACAGTCTGAAGGTCCCATGTGACTTGTTCTCCCACCAGGTCAACTGTGGGTGTCTTCCCATAGCAGACAGTGAATCAATCCTCTTTGGACACAAAGCTATTTTGGGTCTTCACACTCTCCTTAAGGTTCCATTTGGGCGATTTTCATGTTAGTTTGTTCTTACACTTACAAGATATGTGTCTGTGCAGCACATATCGTTTTCAAAGAGAATCTGGAGTTTTCAGAAACTAAAATAATGTGAAAAGAATATTTTAGTAAAGTACATTTTTTTTCACCTTTCTCTTCGTTGTTGACTCCTGGAAAGGTATCACCACCTCCAGAGTTTAGAAGGAAGGCCTAAAGTTGAATGACAAAGAAATACAAAAGGACTGGAGGAACGGCAAAAACTTTTGGAAGCTCCCCAGGTGATTGAATCCCCACCTAGGTGGGGGCACAAAACCTCTTGGGTTTTAAAGATCAGCCATAAGACCCAAGCTCACAGATGCCTGTGTCTAGCTAGGGAACAGCATAATAGCTCTGATGTTGGTTCTCAAGTAACCTTGAAATTCTACACTAGGAATCATTAGATCACACCCACTCTTGCATAGAGCGTTTACAGTACAGTATGTGTCGGGGTGTTCCTTTCCTTTTAAATTGAAACACGGTGTAAACCAAGACAAGGAGGCACAAGGCCAGGATACAAGGGATTACAATAGCTATGGCTTTCACAGTGCTGGCTGTGTTATCCAGCTTCATAACAATGTCTACATCATCTTGAGAACTGGTTCGTTCTTTTTCTCGGTCCATGGAGCTATCACACCCCATGAAATCTTTAAGGATGGAACGTGGGTATCCAGGTTCTACTCGCAGTCTCTGGTTGTGGAACTTCCAGTATTCTTTTCCTTTATAAAAATAGGTGAATCCTGAAATAGGAAGATACGTAGGTTTACAAATATATATATTATTTTAAGGATAAATCCACTCAAAACACCTATTTCATCTTTGGCAAGATGCGAACAGGTACAAAAATATTCCTTAGCAGAAGACTATTGAGCTAGTATCATTTCTAATTATCCTGTGGTTCTATACATTTATTGTAGCGCACTACGGGGTGTCCTAAAGGTTTTATACACCTAGGATGCAGAACGTTCTCATAAGCCCTACAGTTGTACCGAAAAGGTTTATCATTCTGTCAATTACAGAGGTGCCTATCCTTGCATGGCTAATCTGAACAGAACTCTCCGGCCCTTATTATGCCACAGCCGACCTGAAGCAGCACAGTGGCTGCAGAACGTCAGGGGAACTGCTGACGTTCTGCAGCCACTGTTAGAATGGTTTCTTCCTATGTCTAGCCTAATTTAACTTGATGCAGCTCCCAGTTCACTGCCTGTAACACTTCTGCAAGCTAGTGGTTGTGCCCCTGGTAAGCCTTCAAGTACCTTTCATTTGATTCCTATGTACCAACCTTTTAGATATTCTCAGGTAATCTGTGTCTGCTGCTTGTCCTGACCTCTGGATTTTTCCTGGTTATCCTTGTCTGCTGACTGCCTCGACCTCTGGCTTGTATCCTGACCATATGTGCCCTCAGCCATACCTGACCCCTGGATTATTTCTGGTGTCCTCCAACTCGTGATCCATTGTGTTAGACCAGGGGAACCCTGGACAGTGACCTGGGGTCAGCACAAAGCTAAGCCTGAATGCCCATGAGGGGTCCCTGATGAATACCAGCTGGCTCTTAAGACTCCATGCCCTGGGGGATTCCATGTCACTTGCTCTCACGTGACAAAAAAAATCCTCATACTTTAGAGGATCCTGATTCTACTCCCAGGTCTTCTCTGTTTCTGTGTGAACCTCATCCAGTGTGCTTCAGTGTGGGTCCTATGCCTCAGGTCCAGCTCCTAGGTCTAACTTATTCTATAGTGCTCTATTCTACCAAGAACCAGTTGTCAGCCTTCTCTTCTTAGACTACTTCCTCTCACTAGTTATCCCTTACAGTGTAGCTAGAGGTTCCACAACAATGCAGATGGCATCCTGACACAGGTAATATAGATACCTGCCAATACAAGGCCTCGTGACAGAAAGCAAGGAATGGTTATAAATGGGAGGTATGCAAGACCAAGCCTTTTAGATTGCATCCCGCTGTTTAGTTAAAAAAAACCCCATGGAAAGCATTAAAAGAGAACTATGAGGTGAGTGCTTTCACTCACCTCATAGTTCTAGCCGACCTGTGACAATGAGACTGTCACAGGTCGGCTCAGTAGTTTAGGGTGACGGGAGGACGCTAGTTTGTGTCCTCCCGTTCACCTAAGGAGAACTATGGGGAAAACCCCATACCCCATAGTTCTCCTTTTAATGATTTACTTGTGCAATTTATAAATTGTGTTCTGGGTCCCTGGGGTTGGGATAATGGAGAGAAGGGTGGGCCATTATCCCATCAGTTCAGTAAGCTGTCCAGTCCAGGTTTTGTCGCTGCAGCTTGGTACTCACAGGTGTGGCCCATGATTGCGGCTGTGAGTGTTTAAAGAGAAGCCTGGCTTTATCTGTAAGAGACTGTTACCCAGCTAGGTGAGCTGGAGGATCGAAGGCTGCATAGATCTGTTTGTTGCTGAGAAGGACATTGTCTTAGAAACCGCATTGGAGTACAGGAAAGTACTAGCTAATGTTTATTTTATTTCTTAAAGCCAAACTCCAGGCAAATATAAAAGATGCAAACGAATGCAACTCTATAGATATTACATGCATGCAGTGTAAGAACCTGAATGTGACCTAGTATTGGCCTCTTGCAGGCAGAGCTCAGAATAGGTGAGGGAGAAGCAGCACAATGAACCAATCAGTTCTGCTATTGCGCAAGGAACATGCTAATAGGAGGAGAGAGCAGAATGATTGTGAGATGAGCTCATCAGTCTGCTGCTTGTTCTTTCACTGTCCAGTTACAGGCAGACGGTGGTAATGAGACCTGTAAGTGTTACTGGACTACAACAGAGAAAAATCAGGTATCTTGCCCTGCCAGACAGGGGTGTGTTGTGTCCATCCCGTACTGTAAATCTCAGTACTGGATGGACAAAAAAAATAAATCCTTGGCCATGTAAAACTTCCTGATTAGCCGGCTCCATGCTCCCTCATCACCAGGTGACGAGAAAGCATGGGGCCGGCTTTCTGGCCAATCAGGAAGCCGCCAGGGGGGGTGGGGGTAATGACTCGCCGTCCGGCTTCCTGATTGGCCAGCTTCCTGACCAATTAGGAAGCCGAGCAGCGAGCCATTACACACCGTCTGGTTTCCTCATTGGCCGGGAAGTCGGCCCCATGCTCCCTCGTTACCTATATCTGGTTCCTGTAATTCCCTGTATAGCAGAGGGTGAAACAGTTTATGTATTTCAACTGTGTATTTCGCTCTTTGCCTGTAGCTCAGCTTTAATAGCTTTCTGACTGGAATTTCTCTAATCGTATAGGCTGAAAAATAATCTCTTTTAAGAGTGTTAGTATGGAATGCCTTTTGGGCGGTAAAGCATAACTCACACTAAAATTGCAATAATGAAATCACTGGAGACTGTACCAGTCAACCTTTGTCTGACATTTAAATTTAAGCCATAAAATACATTTCTTTTCCAGCTTTCAATTACAATATAGCACAGTACTTCACTTGTGAAGTTAGTTAAAATTTCTAGTACCAGCAAAAGAAAAAAAGAAAAAACTGTCTTGAAGTGTATCTATACCATTTTCTTTGTCCACAAATGCCCCTTGTGGTGATTCCGGAATTCCTTTCCATATTGTTATTAATTTGGGGTAGCCAGGATCCATAACCCTCAACTCTTCATTATATCTCCAGTATCTGAAATACAGAATAACAAAAACCCTGTTAACATCATACATTAATATTCCAGTAGCATGCAAATCTGTAATTACTCTATATCCTGAAAGTGGCAAAGCTAGGTAAAAATTAATCATTTAATCAGGGCAGGATTAGTGAAAAACTGTTTACATTTTTGGGATAATTTGTGGGTTTTTTTTTTTTTTTTGAAGCTGAGCTTTAATCTGCAAATATTTTGCCTTCTCTGGTTCCTCCTTTCCCATTCATCCATATAGAAAAGACAATTTTAAAACCTTTCCTTTTTCATACACACCGTATTGAGTCCTAGTGACGTAATTACTGGTGGAAGGGGGCAGCAGGGGCTGTACAAAGCTTACTGAAAAAAAAAAATCACAGCACCCCGCTTCAGTTCATCTTTCAAGAGCCCTCATCCCTGGTACAAGCAGTGGGCTGGCTCTTGGGAGGAGTTATGCAAATATCAAGATATCTTAATGGGTGGATGTCAGTCTGGAGCAGTGGGTTTTCCTAGGCAGATTGCATATTTGGGTTATGATATTAGATAGCATCCCCAGAAACTTTGTTTACATACATCTACAAACTGGGGAATCTCCCAGCTGACACCTGAATGGGGTCGGGATTGCGCAATTGGTTGCTAGGACTCCGGCGGCCTGGTGTCCTAGCAACCCATGAAGGGGTTCCCGTCAGTTTCATGATAGCTTCCTAGTACACACTCTGTACGCCAGGTCAGAGTTGGTCTAAATTACCGCCAGTTTTCTCATCTGTAAATGGTTGGTAATTCTTTTTGAATCTGTTGCTGCTATAGCAACAGATTTTTAAAGTGGCAGAAGAATTACTTGAATCTGTCACAAGTGTCGGCAAAGCTACCAAAACTGGCGACAGGTCTTTTTTTAATTTGGCGCAGGACTTTTTAAAGGCTCATACCACCAGAAGTGCCATTAAGGCTTTATTGACTTCCCCCATCGTGCCGTAATAACCATAGTAGAACACACCTCTCTTTACACATGTCTTAACTCTACATCCCTCCCACCGGGAGCTAAATCATCCATACTAAAATGGCGGAAACACATCCAGGAGGATGACCTATATGACAAAATACTGCAGGGTTACCAGACGGTCAGGAAATGCACTACTGATGAACTATGGAGGGAGACTCAGTTTCGCATAATACACAAAGCATACTACGCCTTCGATTTTTTCAACAAGATAAAGGCAGACAGCTGTACTTAACGGCCTGCCCTAAATGCACCCTTCCAGGGGCTGACCTATATCATTGTCTCTGAACGTGTGGGCCGATATACATGTACTGGAAAAAGGTGGTTGCATTATTGGCAGGGATTCTGGGAATTGAGTTGCCATGTCAACCTTGGTTATGCCTCTTTAGTTACTGGGAAGCAGACCTGTCCGTGACCAGGACTAGGTGGCTGTGGCTACAAATGTCTCTCTTAATGGCTAGGCGGGTACTGATGAAGTCCTGGCTATCTCCTGACCCTCCTCACTTGAATCACTTACTGGAAGCCTTGAAAAAAAAATATGTGGCAGGGGAGACTGGAGGCTATCCTGGATGGAGATAAAGTAACAACAAGATTTTTTGACCGATGGAGCCCTTTTATATTGACCCAATATCGGACCACATTGATTTACAAAATAGTTCTCCCCTGCAGGTATTCAGTGTGGTATCTGGAGGTGGAACTGCAGGGCTCCCTTGGATGTCTAGCCCTCCCCATGGAGGCCACAGTCTCTTCCCCACCCGATGATAGCCAGAATGTCAGAGCTCAATAATGGGGCATCTCCAGCACACCTCATGTACCTGGATAAACGCGACATAGAGTAACACTGCTATCATGGACGGTCATCGCGAATATGCATGTTAGTTACATTTACTGATGGAATGGAGAATACGAGGGGGGGGGGGCTACTGGAGAGACGGATGGGAAGAAAGCGGAGATGAATAAGTCGGTGAGTCTAGACTGATCTGGCTTCAGTCTTAGGTTATATTCTGTTATTATTGTACGTTATGTTTTGTTTTAATAATAACTTTTGATCAAGTCACCGCTGGTCGCGACAAGGTCGGAGACACTCACTGGATAGTCACAGCTATCCGGAGCAAAAAACTTACAAGGGGGATAACGCACTCCAAGTGTGCTTAGCAGGAGGGTAAACGACGACATTTAGCCACCAAGATGGAACAGCCCGCAACCGTGGTATACCAAGTCAAATAACATGACGGCAAAGTGATGCCCATCACCATGGTTTATGAGCTGCCAATCAAAATGCGCGTCTTCATATACGCATGTTAAAACGCGCATACAAATGTGCACAATGTGCATAAACGCGCAAATAACCGCATTCTGCTAACGCGCCTACAAACATGCAAAAACAGTGCCGCCTAGGTGTATACAAGGGCTAAGACAGTACTTACGGGATCTCGTGCAATAATTCCCACCTCAGTTGTAACAGTATAGAAACTAGAGAAGCTACAAAGTGATGCAGCTTTTTAGAACTTCCTCTTTCACGTAGAAGACATTGGGGATGATTTACTAAAGGCAAATAGGCTGTTCACTTTGCAAGGGAATTTTCACTTTGCATGGGCATTTTTCCTTAGCTTAGTGAATGTGGTTAAAATTAATTCTGCAAAAAATCCCCAATCACAAGGAAGAAAAATTACAGAAACAGTACTTTTGCTTGCACATGATTGGATGATGGACGTCAACAGAGCTTCACCTCATTCACTAAGCTAAGGGGAATATTCCCTTGCAAAGTGAGCTACCTATTTGCCTTTAGTAAATCAAACCCATTACCTCAGACCAAAGTCTCACCTGCCTTCTAATAAGAACAACTCTGCCTATATCATTAAGCAAAGTAGACTATAGATGAATGACAACACTTATGCTTTAATTTCTATTTTTACCACAAGAAGAGATGAATGTTATGTCTGCTATACAATGCAATTCTCTGGAGCTGTAAAATGTCACATGTGTGGAAACAGATCCATCACTGCATTGCTGGGACACGGACGAGTTGAAGTGCTCTTCATACCCTCCTGTGTTTCTGAATGCTCTATTTTTGGAAGGTGTGTGATTGCTGAGTATGATAATTAGAACTAAAGAATGATTATCTTCACCATTATGACTCTTCAAAATGAATCAACAGCTACATAGATAGCTGCTTCACATGCCAATAAATGCTTATTACTTGAGATGGAAATTAAATCAAGGCATCTGGGTAATGCAGAGAACAACATGATTTAATGAAGAGATTCCATATGTCTGTCTTGGAATGCTATGTGAAATGCCATACCACCCACAGACTACACAGTGTGGGGATCCTCTCCTAATATAGAATGGCTTCTACAAATTACCGTAAACAGATTTGCAGGTAAAGTGTTTTATGTGACTAAAGATTCAAAGGGGATTTCCAGCGGCACTAGAAGTTCCCTATCTGTTCTTTATGTGTAATATCTATTTTTTGATTTACAGAACCTGGACATGCCATGTAGCAATGAAATTAACACAGGATACCAGTACTGTAAGACAAGAGTGCCAAGTACTTGGCCACCGCATTCTGCCTGTGCCAGGTTTAACTGGGCTATGTGCTTGGTTGCCATGGTGCCACGAAAGCCGCCCATCTCTGCACGAAAACGTGTGTGTGGCGGAGTCAGCGGCTGATTGACAGGACCATGAGGAACTCTGTGATTCGATCGTGACGTCCATGGAGAACAGTTAAAGAGACAGGCCGATGCATCTCCACAAGGTATATTTCTGAGTCAAAATGACTTTGCAGGATGTTCTTTTACATGTACAGTTTGATATCCATATGAAGTGGCGGGAATATAACGTCATTATGACAAAATGTAAGAAGGGGGAGTTAAGTGACTTTATGATTGGTTTATGGTTCTTCACTGTTGTGTGCATATATTTGCACTTGTGTTGGTGATCATGCTTTTGTTTGCCTGAAGAAGGGACCACTTAGTTTGGAAAAGTCGCTTAGCAATGTGACACTACCATGGTCAATAACGAAGATTGACTATAATTTGAAAAGGAGTGTGAGTGACTTTTTGACTTGTTAAGTTTAAAGGTAATAGTACAAGTAAAGGTCGGCACACCAACCATTTCAGTATTGTATTGAAAATTTCATTTTTAACAGCAAAAAAATTCAAATAAAATAATAATATGTATAAGGAATCCCACCACAATGGCTGCTAAACCAGACAAAAATAACCTAATGTAAGTCAGTGCTAAAAGGCAAAACATAGATCAGAGTGGGGATAACAAACCCATACATATCAACATATATATAGTGTATACAGCAAAGGAATATAACAAGAAAAGCACCAAAAAGAAGTAGCAAGCAAAATTGAACTTAATAAAGGGGATTTCACCCCAAACGCCGTCTGCTGCTGGGTGTGCAGGTTTGCTTGCTACTTCTTTTGTTGCACAAAAAGAGTAGTGGCTTTGGGGAACCGGATGCATGGAGAGAAGAAAAGCCTGTGGGAGAGAGGGATGATGAACAGAAAAGTGCTTTTTAATGGTACCCTGCCTGTTCAGCTTCAACCTTTTCCTCTCTATCCAAAATTAATTAAAGAAGACTCCAGGAATGTTTTTTATTAACCCCTGCAATGGGGCTATCCCAGCAATGCAAGGGTTAAATGCTTGTTTTTGTATAGGTTAAAAGGAAAAAAAAAAAGGGTTATACTCACCTAAACTGTGGAGCCGGCTTGTTCTTAGACTGGTCCTTCCAGCCTCTCTCGCCCTCTGCTGCAGTGGCCTAAGAACCCATAAATAATAAAGGTTTATCCCCAGTTTATAGGCCTGAGGACACTGAGGAACATTCCAATGCTGCAGTGTACAAGGAGACAGGCTGGAGGGAGGGATGTGACAGCTGGCCGGCTCGGAGTCTCGGGTGAATAAAACTTTATTTTTTAACCTAGACAAAAACAAGCACTTAACCCTTGCAGTGTGGGGCTAGCCCCACTGCAAGGGTTATTACAACATTTTTCCTATAGTTCTTCTTTAAAATCAGTCAGTGCAGCTATATGCTGCCATAGCTACATTACTTTTGAAAGGGCATGCTATAAGGCTGTCATTCTTATTCTTGCTTTCCTGCATGGTGAGTCACTAGACAGAAATGAGCGTTTGTATAGAACAAGCTTACTCTGGGTCAGTCACTTGCTAATTAATAAAACCAGGATCAGGATGACAGCCATCAACAGTACACACTGTCAAAAACAAGATAGAATGCAAGTTTTTTGTTTGTTTTTCTGATCAACTAGCATCCGTGTTTTCTCCCCATATTTTCAGCTCTGCCTTCAATGGAGACATTTACAGAAGTCAATGTATAGAATAGACAATAGGAGGGATTTCTATGTATTCCCACCCAAATAGTACTTAAAACTCTTTCAAACTCAGAATTACTTTTTCTGCAGCAAAATGAACTGAGAGCTGACATTGGATCGGATTTTACATTATTCATTCCCTGGAACTTCCTGTTGTATACACACAGACTCTCAGGGAAGCAATGGTTCTTCATGCTGGGTGGTGCACCAGCTTGGAAACCAGTTTGAATTTACACTCTGAGTCGCCCTCCCCCACCCAAGCGAGTTGCTGGAGCAGAACTAAACATTTGCCTTTTTATTTAGCACCAGCTGCTTGCGAGCAACCGGTGTCTTCATGTACTAGGTATGCAGAATCGCTTTATTTATTTATTTTTTTAACTGACAGTCAGTGATCAGCAGGGATAAGCAAAATTGAGAGTTTTAATTTTCCTGAAATTTTGCTGAAAATTAGGAGATTTTGGAAAAATTTTGCATTTTGGGCTAAAAGTATTGAAGTCATTGGGAAAGGCTAAATGAAGATAGTTTTTAACTTTGAAATGGTATTTAAATGTCTCGAAGGTTACAGAAGCTCCTGAGCCTGTCCCAAAAAAGTCCCCTCATCAGCTTCATTATTTCAAATGTTTTTTACAGCATATCAAAATTAAAGAAAAAGCACACAAATAACAATCAACTGCACAAAAAAAGTTGGAAACACACAAGTACAACACTAATAAAATAAACTAAAATACCAAGAAAAGAAAAAAAACCCATGCTGTCCAAATAAATACAAATATTTTTTTTCAAGCAAATGCACCTTATTGGGCAAAAGGATTTCTGCTTAAGTAAAATTTTGCTGAAATCATTCAATGTGTAGACAAAAATAAAAAAACGTAATGTGGCCAGAGATCCAGAGATGTGTGCATTCCCCTGCAGTGTCTTTTTTTTTTACAGTGTGTACCCAGTTTGCCATGCATGCCCAACACTGGCTTTGAATGTCCTATGTACTTTGTGTGCAATAGAGAATGTAACAAATACTAGGAAGAAAAGAGGGAGGCTCTAAAATACAACATAGTCTAAAGTCTAACTTCACATATTAGTTGGCTGTGAAGGACCTTTTACATGAAAGAGGTTTCCACAAGCATGTTCAGGTTGCCCAAATATGCATGTTTAGGCCTGTGAAGGAAGAGGGAACTGTATAGATACCCTCAGCACTGACTTGTCTCTAGGGTAAGTAATAGTGACTGGTTGGGAAAATCATGAAAGAATCTGGTAGAGTTAGTTAGTGGCAATTAAATGTGTGGTTAGGACATGGGCTACCTATAGACATACGATTGCCACTCAATCAGAATGCACCAGTTGGATTGTTCTCATGTATATAAGATGATCTTATGTTTCTTTGCATCTTAAAGAGGAATGTTTGCATCATGCTGCCCCTTTGCTGCACCGCCATTTTTAATCATCCTGTGCAAATAGAGGGGATTCCTGTGCATGTGCACAGATGCCACTGGTTTCTGGTATCTGGGACCAGAAACTCTTGCAGAGACTCATGGTATCAGTGCACATGCACTGGAATTTCCTGCACATGTGCAGACGTGCTGCAGATCTTTGGCAGGTCCCGAATACCTTGCAGAGACCTGTGGCACATCTGGGCAAAGCAGCGTGCCCATGGCCCCGAGTGAAACACTGCCTCCTGAGTTTTGACGTGGCAATCCCAGGAGGCATTAGGGCTTCCCTATGTAATTCTCACCTAGGTGAGAGATCAGAAAGTGCTGTACTGCAGCAAAACATTGTACCATTCTTTTGAAAAAAAATTAAACATTTTTTACAATTCTGTTACAGGGAGGGGGGAGGAACCGGACGATAACTAGTTTTTGAAATGGGTGAAGTCCATTTAAGGAGAGAAAGCTATCCAGTTACACATTGCCTTTTCATTCTGACTGCATCTGAGTGAACTTCAGCAAACTACAGTATAATTTATATTCAGAAGCTAGTTAAAAACAACGTTCTCCTCTTTTCTGCCTGGTAACCTATATAATCCATAGTCACTCTTGGCATTATATTGGAATTTGTTATGTGACAAAATCACAGAAGTTTCCATTTAATCTGTCACAATGCCTATGTAAGATTTCTTTTATCCCATATTGCATACATTACAAGGATTTTAGCAAACTAAAGTACCAACCCGAGCTGGCCGTTTGCATTAGAACACACACATTGATTTCACCTACCTGCTGCAAATATTTTCTACTTTCTGAGAGGTAATTAGGAGGATCTTCCCGCTATGGTCACATAATCAATCCTAATGTTGTACTTAGAGCAAAAGGGCTGTTCACAGCAGTAGGCCAATCACATAAGCAGAAAATTACTTTTCTGGAGGAGTTCCGCACAAAGTGTCCAGAACACCCCCATAAAAAGAAGTCAAGATTGTTTTTCGGGCCAGTTTTAGAAAAATTTATTGTAGTCATATATATTAGGTTTGTGTCTAATATTATAACATAGCAGGCTGCACAATGAACTAGAATGGTCTTATGTGTTAATACTTAAAGGATGAGGTGAGTGAAAATCCCTTAGTTCGAGCCGACGTGTGACAAGGAAACTGTCACACGTTGGCTCAATAGATCGGGAAGTGAGCGAACACATAGCGTCGCTCGCCCACTTCTCGATCATCTCCCTGCAGAGAGCAGTGACTGTCAGTCCCTCCGTGCAGGGATTCCCCCCCCCCCTCCCAGCGCTGAGTGGAGGAACGGACAGGGGAGGGGGAGGGCACAGCTGGCTCTGCCTCTAGATGGGCAGAGCCCGCTGTCACTCACGCAGCTGGGTGGATCTCCACCGTAATGTCGGGATCTGTCCCAGGTGCGGCGGTCTCAGTATACCGCTAGCTGTAGCTCACGATATACTGAGCTTTGGGTCACAGAAGGACGCTAGTATATGTCCTCCCATGACCCTTAAGAGAACTATGGGGAAAAACACTTACCTCATAGTTCTCTTTTAATTACAAAAAAGGCTTGTGTAACAATTATAAAAGTTATATCATTTTTGGACTTAACCCTTAGTTTTATAAGGTGCAAAGTGACTCAAAAGAAACGTGAAAGGATATGGCTAATATGATGGCGTTTGGATTAACAGATATTCATTTTAAAAAAACATCCCTTGTAGGTAGCAAAATAATCAAGGTGGCAGCAAAGTGGAGCATGGCTGATGCTTTTCAAATGCCAGCATATAATAAATACATATAAATCTTCTGAGTGATATTTACTAATTGTAGTCAGGACTTACACTTTTCATTCTCAATACCTCTATTGTAAACAAGTGACAAGTGTATCAAGTTCAGAATTTGGTAGGAAAAGAAATGAAATACTCTTTTTATCTCATGAAGTTAATGCAATAAATGACATATCCAGAAAAGTGGGGAAATCAATCTATAGGTGCCCATACACTGCACGATTATCGTACGATAATCGTATGCGATCGGTTTTTCGTACGATAATCGAGCAGTGTGAACGGAGACGTGCGACCGTTTCTACTGTACGGTCGCACGTCTTCTGTCGAACCAGCATGTTCGAAAACCAGCCGGGAATCGTACGATTCTCGGCTGGTTAGAACGGTGCTCGGAAGATAAATGCTGAACGGGCCGGTGTGCGCACGCGCACACTGCCCGTTCAGCATTGCGGTCATCGGAAGCCCGCCCCTCAGGGGGGTGGGCTTGCGATGATCGAGAGTGCGATCTGCCTGTCCAAGATAGGCAGATCGTACGTTTTTTAAATCCCTTTACAACCATCGCAAGACTAAAGTCTTGCGATGGTTGTACAGTGTATGGCCACCTTTTGGCTGTCACTGAATTAATTTTCTCCATTCAAATCCATTGCTGTCAGCAGACCCTTCCGCTACAGTCTGTCTCCTAAGACACTGTTAATGATTCTGTTTCCATCAGTAAACCCTCGTTGTGAAACAGATTGAATGACAATATTGCAAATGCCAGATCTTAGCATTTGTTTGTTTGCCTTATAAATGAGTTGCCGTGTTCTGAAGATTGGTTCTGTAGACGTCAGTAGACTCAAGCCCTCAGAAATGCTTTAGAGAATACAAAAAAAATTAAATAATATAATTGGCTTTCTACTCACCTGTCGCCTTTGAAAAAATAGGTCTTTCCAACGTCCTCCCACCAAACAGCGGTATCAATGCCATGGGGTGGAATACCATGTCCGAGATGTATCAAGTCATGAGGATATCCTGGTTGTAATGTTGTATCTTTAAACACCCAATATTTATTACCTGGAACAAAAATAAACTTTTATAAGGTGTCAGTCCCCTGAAATGGTATTTTTATATGATATGTGGAGGAGTTTTGTAAGAAGGATAACCCTCTGACTTTATTGGGGGCTCCACAGTTTAGATTGCCCACCATAGTTCCCAGCTTTGCTTCAGTCCACCTTTTTTTCAACATCCAATGCTGCATTTTACAGAATATAAAACACATTTAAACCTCAAAAAAGAAGGCAAAAGAAACTATTACATACTTAATTGTTCCATCATCTACCAAAACTTTATCATACTATATATATATAT